TTATACATTCATGAAAATATTAAATTCTTTAGTTATGTTGGAAAAAAAAATAAATCAAAATTTGTAGAATTGATAGATTTTATCATGATCTCAATTTCATTGTCTAGTGATAAGTGTATATACGATTTGATAATAAATTCAGATTCCAATTCTCTTCTCATATATTAAAAAAACAAAAGAAAAGAGATATCCCATTGGAATTTGCTCAATTCCATAATTTTTATTAATAATGTAATTTAAATCAATTAATTCTATTCTAAAAATATCTATGACATCCATGAAACAGGTTTTTCAATTTAAATGATAGAATGGGAAGTTCTATTCATTTCATAATTCATGTATTTTATATTTCATGAATTTTTTAAAATCCATGGATTTTTTTTTTTTTTGAGAGGGAAAAATAAATTATATAAAGCAATGATAAAGGTCATACAAAACCAAAGGACAGATAGAATGAAGAACCTCATCTATCCATGGATTTCACATTCCCATCAACGAACCTTTTAGTGGGAAAATGTTTGTTTTGCAAAAAATCGGCAGATTTAAAAAAAAAAAAATTTCCAGAATAAATATATAAAAAAATATTATAAATTTAATTTTAATTTATGAGGAGCAATTCAGAATCTATAGGTAGTTAAACGAAATTATAAACAAAGAGCAGTGAATTAACCTTCATTCTTTTAACGTACATCCAACATCATTTGCATAACTTGATTGATTTAAGCTAACTCAAGATTATGCTATGGGTCTTATGTTTATATTATTATATTTCAAATCGGTAGACTCATTTTAAAAATAGGTTAATATATCAAATATTTTAAATTCGAGATATAAATATTAAATTAGAGTGATTTTGTAATAAATTTAAAATTTCAGGATATTTTTCTATATTTTGCCTTAAACATCCAACTATCCATAATCAACTTTCAAAAACTCGGTTAAATGGGTACGTATTTGTTAATTTTTGGATTATATACCAAAACCACTTCCAAGGACAAGGTGCTGTTATAATTAGGAACAATAAAATATTGCAATATCTAAAATAAAATCTAATAGTAATGCAATAAAGAAAATGAATAGAGTTGAGTGATTCGTGTCGGGAAGGCTACTGATGATGATCAAGGCACGCAATACATCCCATTGTCTTTAAGACTGTAGACAAGATTGACGTTCTTTGCACCAAGTTAGCTGCTATTCCCAACGAATTTGTTCTATGCCACATAATAAATCTCGCCGACATATATATGATCCTTTTCCCAAAAAAGTAAATTATAAAGTATAGTATATAGAAATGAAGAAAATACAATGAACATACTTTACACACAAAAGAAAACTAAAAATCAAAGTATAAAACGAATTAAAATTTGTTTTTTGTGAAAATTTGTCATATTAAATACTTTAATTTTCATTTTAATCCATTGATACTGCAATTTATAAAATTTCACATATTAAATACTTTAATTTTGTACAATTATTTTGTTAAATATTTTAATTTATAAAATATTTATTGAAAATGAAAATATGAAAAATTATTATTCTAAAATTGGACTAACCATGCATCAAATTAGTCCTCTATATAGAAAAATAATAAAAAACGTAAAATTATTGTTATTAGTATGGAGAGATATGTAATTTTTTCAATTTCTGTACTTTTACAAGTACAATAGGTTGATAGCTAAATTTGAAACACCACAAAAATATAAGGATGTATTTAAATTAAAATAGTTGTATTTTGTACAAGTGAGGTATTTTTTTTTTTTTTTTTTTCCAACAAAATATAAGGATGGTATTTAAATCAAATATAGTTTATTTGTACAAGTGAGGTATTTTTTTTTTTTTTTTGGATTCATTGGGGAAGTCCAATGATTGAAATAACTGCACATTATATGAAGATATCCCTTCCCTTTTTTTTTTTTTTTTTTGGATTCATTGGGAGGTCCAATGAATTGAAATAACTGCACATTATATAATAGGAGATAATCCCTTCCCTTATTTCATCAAATTAATGAAACACTTTTATAGTCAAGAGAACTCGAACACAAGACTTTCTAATATTCAAATAAGTGAAAATTACCAACGTGTATGAATGGGTTTCTTATTCTCCTATTAAGTAATCAAAGTACTAAATAATTCGTTATTTAAAAATTCATGGTTTGATTAATCTGAATTCACGTAAAATAATATATACAGATAGACAGCGGACTCCACGCACTTAAAATTGTACCTAGGACTTTACTTATGGTTTGTGGTCCTAATCTTTGCTAGAATGTTAAAAGGTATTTTATTTTATAATAAAAGACATTTAGATAAGTTTTTTTTTTTTTTCCCTATAAATCACTTGTATCTGCACAGCGGACTAATTCGAATTCAGTTTCTACAGAGACCCGATATGGAAGTGACCATTTCAACTTAATTTTCTCCATTTATAATGCTAGAGTTCGAACTCTGAATGTTACTTAAGAGATCCAGCGCCTCATCCTGCTGATCAACTATTAATAAAGAAAGATAGCATCTATTCGGTGTTGGATAAGTACTCGAAAAATAAAAAATGAACACGCAAGGCGAAATTATGGAAAGGTTTATTCTTGTCTTCTTATAAGGAAATATAACTATCAACCACAATAATAATCTTTCGAATCAAATAATCTTTAGACTCTGCAAAGGTAATGTTTTAAATGTGTTGTGTGTATTTGCACAAATGTGATTCTCCTTTCCATTTTTTTATTATTTAAAATGGTAATGCCTGTCATCCTCATCATCATCATTTACCATTATTTTAAACTTTTATTTATAAGACTAAATATATATATTATTCTATCCATTATCAAAAAAAATTTTAGGAGAATTAAAATTGACTTAATGCATATTTTCATGCTGAATTTTATATTGTGTTGCAATATCACTCTATTTTGATTTTTATGTCAATTTCATCATTAATTTTGATTTTATATTACAATAGCACCTTAAATTACAATTAGAATTTTAATTTCAAATAAAAAATACATTAATGTGAAATATACTCTTGAGTTGGGATTAATTTAGTCTAAACTTTCTTACTCATATAAATTTACTAAGTTTAATTATTGTCATGCACAAATAATATTTTTTTTCATTTTAATTGTTATCTTGCACAAATAATACTTTTTTCGTTCTATAATTATAAATTATAATTGATTATAATTATATTTTATATTCTATTTTGATAAAAAATTATTTATAATTTCTAATAGTCTATGAGTTAAATACTTTTATAATAGCTTTGGTTTTTAAAATTTATATTGAAATCAAACAATAATAATAATTAGTTTATTGTTTAAGAAGTATTCTATTTTTTTAAAAGAAAGACATCTATCAAATAATACATTTTTATTTATTACTTATTGAAAATTAAATAAAAAATTTAAAAATATTAAAAAATAATAATTGAGATTGTCTATACTATTAAGTCAAGCTCCCTCGTTCACATAAATGTATTAAGTTAACTTCCTCATTCATATAAATGTATTTTAAGTTAACCCAAGCCTAAATGAAGAGTGAACCTCATAGTAATGTATTTTTTTTCTTTGCAATTTAAGTCCTAAATGTATTTAGAGTGTTATTATAACAGAGGGTCAAAGTTCAGGATGATATTGGCATAACGGTCAAATTGAAGTGAAAATGTAACATAATGCAAAATTTAGGGTGAAATAATATATTAGACTAGTTAAAATTTGATCGGAGAGCTACTACTGTAATTTTTACGTTTTTCATTATTTAATAAATATTTAATGGATTTAATTTTATAAATTGGAGATTTAATAAATATAATTTTATAAATTTAAATGTTCAATAATTTAAAATAAAAATTAAGTCACAAAATTTTTTACAATAAATATAGAGATGAATTTGGCCACCAAATAAAATTTCCAAACGAATATCTTCTGTGTGGGTAACTGTTAATCGCTCATCAGTGGTCATTTCTTTTCCTTCTTTGTATTTTTTTGAACAATCCTCGGATATGTATCTTTTAATACAAACCTAAATTATTATTGCTCATACATTGAGATTATCATTAAATCTAGTTTTCTTTTGATAGTTTTTGGATTTATTATAGTCACCATTATGTATTTTTATTTATGATATTATATTATTTAGACGGTTTTATAAAAAGAAGTGTAAATATCTTCTTTAATGAAAGAAAAAAATTTTGAAGATAATAAGATCGAACTTAAAGAAATATCACGAAATCAAATAATGGCCATAAATAACCACGAATTGAAATAAACATTACCATGACACATGCAACTTATTCATATTCTTCAAATTATTTTTATAAGTTATTTATTATTAAATTATATATATATATATTAATTTATATTCCACATCCAGACGCGTCTTTCACTCAATAAAATTTCCAAAAAATAAAGTTTCCAAGTGAATGTTTTACCCTTACCTATCTCTTTCTCCATCCAACTTTCATTCGTATTACATCGAAAGTCCATACCACCACCAAGTCAATTCCAACTTTACTTAACATATACAATCCAAATTTATAATTTCCTCTCATTCTGACGAAAGTACCCTTCAACTCACCCCTAATTTATTTCCATACCAAACAAAGATGCAATGCAACATCCAATCACCAACCAAGCAAGCCAGAAGCAACCACCTCCCAATCTGCATAGAGCAGAGCCGAGCCGAGCTAAATGTTTTGAAGGCTAATGGCTATGGCCGTGATTGACTAGGTTTGTGGGTCCCGTTCAGACCGGACTTGAAGATGGATTTCAAACCGGTTAATTAATTAATTAATACTCATGAAACAGAAGCATCAAGGCCAAGTAAAGAAATTAAAGAAATTTATTTTTTAGTAATAAAAAAGCAGAAAAACAAATAAAGGCGAGACGTCCGTGATGGCCCAAGGATTTTTGGTCCACGCGCCTGCGTGTCACCATCATTAGTCACTCTCTCTCTTTCTCTCTCTGCATTTTCTCTCTCTATTGTCACTTGTATATAACCTTCTCATTCCTTGCCACCCCACCCCACAACCGCTATAAACTACTGCAACAACCAAGAGATAAAGAAATTAAACAAGAAGCAAAACCCTAACCCTAGTTTGGTTTGCTCCTTTATCGTATTGAATTGATTTCAAGATTTGTTTCTCTGCTAAAAAGCTATGGAAGGGCATAGTATTAAGAAGCGAGTCAGGGAGGTCGAGTCTGAGTTGGACTTGCCTGAGGTAAAGAGAATACGAGATGATTTGTTGGGTGTTCTTGATGAATCGGATCCTGACCCGACTATTCAAGATCTTGATTCTGTTATGAAGAGTTTTGAAGAGGAAATATCCGCTTCATCCTCTTCCCCGGTCGTTATCGTCGATCTGACTTCAGATTCCGGTGACTCCCAGCCGGATCTCGGTTACCTTCTAGAAGCATCCGACGATGAGCTTGGATTACCTCCTTCCTCGGTTAATTCTTCTGGAGAGGAGATTAAAAATGAATTGGTTGCTCGAGTGGACTCAGTTGAGTTAGCTGTAAATGGAGGGTTTTGGGGGTTTGAGGATCAGATAACAAGTTATGATTCGTTCGAATTGGGAATAGGTGAAAATTATAACACCGATTACGCGGCGTTTGACGACGGGCTTTTCGAGTATTCAAATGTGTGTTTCGATACTTCCGATGTACCGGAATATCCGTTGCGGCTGGGGAACATGACGGCCGATTAAATGAACAGTTTCGGCTACAAGTAACGTAAAACGATGCCATTACGGCCCTCTCCTGTAAATTTTCTTATTTTATTTTTTATTTAAAAAAAAAAGAGGTAAAGTGATATATAAAAATGCAGTGTAGGAGTAGAATTGAAAAGAAGAAGGCGCGAGTGAGTAAGGAATTGATTCGTTTTTTTGATGCTTGGATTATACAAGAGATCGTTCACCAATCTATTCCTGCTATAATTCATATAATACTGTTCACCATTTTTTCCTTCTAAAGGTCTTGTCCCATTTTTTAATGTTTGTTATATATATGTATAAATATTTATATTTATATTAATAGATTAATAACAATGAAAAAGGCCAAGCCTTAAATTTTATATTTTCTGACAGTACGTCATGTATTAATTGAAAAGAAAAAACCTGAAAATAATGGGAATATACTTTTTCCATTTTATAATTTTTAACATACTTGCCCATTTCATTAGTCCAAAGTAAGATTTTTTTTTTTTTTTATTAAAAACCAAGTAGGTAGAAATCACATGATGTATTATTCAATAATAAATGAAAACAATATCATGTCAAAAAAATTTTTTAAATATATTATTTTATTCTTCTTTACTTTTTTTTTAAACAAATGTATTAGTCAAACTACTTAATTATATTTAACAAATCTTAATATAAATAAAATTATAAAATTTTTTTTATCACACAAATTTAACTTATTTTATTAATATGTCAGGAAAAATTTAACTTATTGAGTCAACTAATTCAAGCCAATAGGCTTCCAAATCTAGCCTGAAAAAGTTAAATGAAAAAACTTAGAAAAAAAAATACAATAATAGATCAAAAAGCATAAAATCATAGTCTTTCTTCCTAAGATAAGAACAAAAACAACTAGATCATCCGAATGGAAGAGCATAAAAGCTATAAATTTAAACCCATGCCACGTAAGGTTCCGCAGCATCAACACCCTTTTCAGCTAAACAATCTGTAAATCGATTACATTTTTGTTTATATGCTTAAAATCCACATTGATCAAAGAAGATAATAAATAATCACGCTTATTAAATCGAACCCATCATTGTCAAGGTTGTTTATCTATCTGAGAAACCCATAAAATGGCATTTTTAGAGTCTGATTCAATAATTAAAGGTAGAGAATTATAGCTAGAATGACAATGTAACTCAACCACTTTCAAAATTGCTAATAGTTCAGCTTCATTAAAATATAAAATTTCCACATATTGATAGAAAACATAATTAATCAAGCCCAGAGAATTTCTCAAAACCCCACCAATACCAGCCACACCTGGTTTTCCTCTCGCAATCCCATCAATATTAAACTTCATAACACTTTCTGGTGGACAATTCCAAAGCCTAGAAAAAATGAAACTCTTCCACTACTGTTATGCATACCAAGATAGGAAAAGAAATCCAGTCATAGAGGCTAAAAGGCAAGGAAGGAAATTTAACTTTTAAAATCTCAAAACTTCTAAATTTAATATCATCAATTACCTTTTCTTTCTCATGCCAAATATTAGAAAATAATAAAAAATTTCTCCTTAGCCAAATAGACCAAATTGTGACAATAAAAAGAAAAAAAAAAAAACTATCTTCCAAGCAACCTGAGTTCCATTAAACAAAATCAAAGTTTCCCAATGCCAACCTAATTCGACCATAGAAGAGGGAAGAACAATTTGGATATCCCACCAAATAAAAACATCCATCCAAGTCTCTCTACTCGAGGCACATCAAAACAAAGAATGATCAACTGTTTTAATCTATCACCACATGTAGAACAGATACAATTATCAAGAGTTTGAATAATTTCTCTTTTAAAAAGATTCAACTGGCTAGGAATTATATTTAAGAAAACTTTCCACACAAAATAAGAGATTTTGGAGGAAATAATAGAAGACCATAACAATTTTTGATTAAACATAACCACTAGATTACCTATCTCTTTTTCTTCCACAAGCAAAGAAAGATTTTTAACAGAAAAATTACTTTTTTTTGTCGGAATGCCAAATGAATTTGTCATTATGATTTTGAAACACCGAAATCTCAACAAGTTTTGCTTTTAACTGATTCCAAATGTTCTTTTCAAAAGATCTAAGATCCCAAGACCAAGCTAGTTCCCAACTTTAATTATCATTCACAAATGAACCACAATCACGAACTTTTAAACTTTTGTTAACTGATAGTCGAAATAGGCGAGGGAAGACAAAGGAAATAGGGACATCATTCTTCCCAAGCAAAACGAAAAGATGTTTTACAAGAGAAAATTAACTTTTTTTGTCGAATGCCAAATGAAATTTGTCATTAATGATTATTTGAAACACGCGAAAATTCTCAACAAGTTTTGCTTTTAACGATTCAAATGTTCTTTTCAAAACGATCTTAAGGATCCCAAGACCAAGCTAGGTTCCCAACTTTAATTATCATTCACAAAATGAACACAATCACGAACTTTTAAACTTTTGTTAAGCTGATAGTCGAAAGTTAGGCGAGGGAAGACAAAGGAAAATAGGGACACATACAACCAAACATTCTAAGGCCAAAAATGGATTTGGAGTGCCACTCCCTAACCCCCAAACGATAATCTTGCTTTGAAGATGTCAAGCTGTTGAGCATAATTATCATCCCAAATAACAACGTCTGCTAAATTTATCTCCCAAATAAACAACGTCTCGCTATATAGGGGACAATTTTTTCCATAAAAGATATTTTTTAGCAAACCATCTTCACCATATTTAGAAATCAATATTCTTTTCCATAGAAAATTGAAGTGCCACCACCACTTGCCTAAGAGAGCCAAAATTTTCCTTCTTAAAGATGATAACCTCAGCCCTCCACGACTTTTGCTAGAGGAAACAACATTCCAAGCAACTCAATTTAGAGGTTTTTCATTCTCCAATCCTTTACCCCATAGAAACCTCTTCTGAATTGATTCAAGTTTTTTTATGACTTTTAGGGGAGCTTTAAAAATTGTCATATAAAAATTTAAACGTAAAAAGTATAATAAAATGAAATAAATTGGTGTATTTTTTTTACAATTTTTAAATTTCATAATTTTTTTAAAATTTTTACAGTTTCAAACTCAAGCAGCTTTCTCCAAAGTAGAACCATCAATTTTTAAATCAAAGGCGGTATAAGATTTAATTTTATTTTGATCAATTTTAATTTTTAATAAAATTTGAAATCAAACTGGGATCATATCTCTAATACTTAACGATATCTGTGATTTGCTAAAATCTACCTCATCACTTAAAAAACTATGGACTGGTTAGAAAAATTCAAAAACGCCAACTAATCCAATCCAAGTCAAGTTTTCGAATAAGTCAAGTTAAATTTTCGATATTATGTGCGATAAAAGCTTAACGAATCTTTGTAAAAGATTTAGAGAAGAACAGAATTACATCTAGAAAAGAGAATTCTGAAGTGGCGCCTTCCATATTAGAACAGTAAGAAAGAAACAAAATTGCAGGCCTAGCGGACATCAATCCTGCAATATGAAATGATAAAATATGACAAACGACAACGATTTTATCTGTCACCAGTTGGTACTATTTTGTTCAAACGACACCGAAAGTAAGCAAAAATATAGATAACCAAATTACAACCGAACAATAAACTAAATGAAATCGAACCGATTCAGATATGTTCTGTTTAACTATTTTATGTTCAGTTTAACCGAATCAATAAAAATCAACCCAGTCGGTTCAGATTTGTTTTTCGGTTGATTCAAACTAATGGTTAGGCCTTCACTTCAAAAATAAAAAATTGTATATTGAAATTTCTAATTTTGGTTTCTAACTCCTATAATTAGATATTTAAATATATTGTTTATTTGTTATTGTCACGGCCGATTTTTTGTCAAACGCCAAAAATAGATATTTAAATAAAATCCAGTTGCACAATTAACTTTGTGTTGCCAGTTTGACTATTTTAGATTATGTGGTTTGGCAATTGGCATTAGGAATTTTATGAAAGATTGATCAAAAGACCATCAAATAATCTTCTGTATCGGTTAACGTTCTTTGGAGAAATTGACTCAGGGTCTGTCGGTAAAATTAACTGTTTTAATATCTATCGGCTGTTTTAGTAGTATTTAGTTATTAACGGTTTAAGTAGATTTTCATAAAACGTTAAAAGCTAAACGTTACGTACGTTAACTTTTCATAAAACATTACTTTAACCTCTAAAAATTAAGTCAAATAATATATTACCGAACACTGTAAACAATAATCAAAACGCTAAAAACTATTTCAAAAATTTCAACACAACCTTATACCCAAATTTGGACAAAATGAACTTTAATAAGACAAAGGCAAAGGCTAACGGCCACAGCAAATGCTTTCGCTTTCTAAAACCATTGGCAACGATTACATTTATGGCTGCTAAATATTCAATTCGGAGGACCAACTTGTTATAAATTTATAAACTGGACTTTATATAATAATGAATTTATCAATTATTATGTTTTAAAATTATATAATGATAGATGATAGACTAAGTACGTATATTAACTCTTATACTTTTTTTGAAAAAAAAATTATAGCAGCTTAATTTTGCTATTCGACTTATTGTGCTCTTAAAATTACAAATTTCAGTAGTATTACACACTTTTTCACATTAATAACAATAAGATTTTAGTGTTTTTTTTTTTTTTTTTTTTTTTCATTAATAACAATAAGAAATTAAGTGTTTTTTTTTTTTTTTTTTTTTTTTGCTTTTATAGTTAAAATAATAATTTGATATAATTTTTTTTTTTTTTTTTTTTTGCTTTTTATATAAAATAATAATTTGATATAATTATATAATTTTTATAAGAATGATTTTCATATTTTTCATTATTCCATAAATATTTAGTCGATTTAATTTACAAGTTAAAACATTCAACGGGATGCTTTCAAAGTTAAAATGTTTGACGTAGTTTTATTAATTGTGTTTAATATATCGAAATAGAATTTGAGAGTATCACTTTTTTTTAAGATAACTTATGAATTTGGCTTATGGTTTTTTATTTTTTATATTATAAGAGAGATGGCTCAACTAGCCATTACAAAGCAGAGTAGAAGCAATAACTCTAGAATCATGAGAAAGTTAATTTAGCAACCCTATAACAGTAACACACAAAATAGAGGTGAGTAAATTTTTGAAAAAATTGAAAATCAAATTATTTTTTATTTTTAATTCGGTTATTCAATTTTCTGTTTCTAGCTTTGAGTTTGTTTTCTATAACTCAGTGATTCAATTTTTGGTTTCAGCTTTGGA